GCTGGCACTACTTCGGAGGCATGGAGCAGAAGTGCGGTGATCTTGTTCTTTAAGAAAGGCGACAACGCTCTCTTGAAGAACTGCAGACCGATTTCCCTTCTGAGCCGCGTCTACGTGCTGTATTCGAGAGTCATTACGAATCGTCTCGCACGCAGACTCGACGACTTCCAGCCTCCCGAACAAGCCGGTTTCCGAAAAGGCTTCAGTACCATAGACCATACATACCCTGCGGCAGATTGTACAGAAGATCGAAGAGTACAATCTGCCTTTTTGCCTGGCATATGTGGACTATGAGAAAGCCTTTGATTCCGTCGAAATTTGTGTGGTGCTACAGTCCCTTCAGCGGTGCCAAGTTGACTGTCGGTATATCGAAGTGCTGAAGTGTTTCTACAGTAGGGCTACGATGGCTGTCCGAGTACAGAATCAGAGCTCGGAACCTATACAACTGCAGAGAAGACTAAGACAGGGTGACGTTATATCCCCGAAACTCTTCACCGCTGCATTGGAAGACGTTTTCAAGCTACTGGACTGGAAAGTAATTTGAGGAATTTTGAATATTTGGAAATAAATTTATCATTTTTTTTTTCATAGTAGTTCATAGTATTTTTTCATTTATCATAGTAGTAGAGTGTGTTTATATTAGCTTGATGAAATGAATTATTTATGATTTTTGGTAATTGAGTATTAGATTTGGATATGGAAAGCCACTGTGCAACATCTGACGATGCTAGAAATTGAGATCCACACCACAAAGAAGAACTTGATAGTCTATCTGCAGAAAGTCCACGCCAAGTTTTTAGATGTACGTCGGTTCAACTGATCATTTTTACTGACCGTGTGTGGCGTCTATAATTCTTTGAGCGAGAAAAGAATCAGCCCTCATATCACCAGCAGCCACAAACAGTCCTGAATACAGTTCCTTTAGGAACTTCCCCGCACCTGGACCCATCATCATCATCATCATTACAGCCCTTCACAAGTCCACTGCTGAACATAGGCCTCCCCCAAGTAATGCCACAAAGCACGGTCCTGAGCCACCTGCATCCATCGACTTCCTGTATGTCTTACCAGGGCGTCACTCCATCTAGTGGGGGTCACCCTACACTACGCCTACTGATACGAGGCTGCCACTCAAGAACCTTTCTTCCCCATCGCTTATCGGTTCTTCGAGCTATATGGCCGGCCCATTGCCACTTCAGCTTACTAACCCATTGGGCTATGTCGGGCACTCTGGTTTTACTGCGGATATCCTCGTTTCTGAGTCTATCACGCAGAGAACCTCCGAGCATAGCCCTCGCCATAGCTCGCGATGTGAGCGTCCTGCCAGCATGGACACGTCTCTGATCCGTAAGTCATCACTGGCAACACGCACTGGTTGTGCACTTTAATTTTCAGAGATTGACGTATACCTGACGAGAAGATGTGTCGTAATTTCCCGAACGCTGCCCAGCCGAGTTGAAGTTGTACTTACCTAGTCGGACTATTTGTCCCAGGTAAACGTACTCGTCAACAATTTCAAGCATAGTGCTCCCCACAACTACCGGCATAGGTGTGACATGGACATTTAACGTGATCTTTGTTTTGTCCATGTTCATCTTAAGACCTATCCGTTGGGAGGCACTATTGAGGTCATTGAGCATATTGCTAAGGTCCTCCAGTAATTCTGCCAAAAGGACTATATCGCCGGCAAATCGAAGGTGAGTGATGTACTCGCCATTGATGTCAATACCGTATCCTTTCCAGTCCAGTAGCTTGAAAACGTCTTCCAACGCAGCGGTGAAGAGTTTCGGGGATATAACGTCACCCTGTCTTACACCTCTCTGCAGTTGGATAGGTTTCGAGCTCTGGTTCTGTACTCGGATAGCCATCGTAGCCCTACTGTACAAACACTTCAGCACTTCGATATACCGACAGTCAACTTGGCACCGCTGAAGGGACTGTAGCACCGCCCAAATTTCGACGGAATCAAAGGCTTTCTCATAGTCCACATACGCCAGGCAAAGTGGCAGTTTGTACTCTTCAGTCTTCTGTACAATCTGCCGCAGGGTATCTATGTGGTCTATGGTACTGAAGCCTTTTCGGAAACCGGCTTGTTCGGGAGGCTGGAATTCGTCAAGTCTGCGTGCGAGACGATTCGTAATGACTCTCGAAAACAGCACGTAAACGCGGCTCAGAAGGGAAATCGGTCTGTAGTTCTTCAAGAGAGCGTTGTCGCCTTTCTTAAAGAATAAGACCACCGCACTTCTGCTCCACGCCTCCGGAGTAGTGCCACCATGGAGGACGGAATTGAAGAGCTTCTGAAGGACTTCAAGTACCGGTGTTCCACCCGCTTTCAGAAGCTCCGCTATAATACCATCCTCGCCTGGGGCCCTGACGTTTTTAAGGTGCTGGAGAGCCACTCTAATCTCGCTCAGACTGACGTCCGGGATATCATCGGAATAGTGTCGGGTAAGACTTGCTCTTGGATCGTTACTCACACTTGCATGTGGCTCCAACGATGATGTGTACAGCTGCCCATAGAACCTCTCAATCTCACTCAAAATCTCAGGTGTCCCGGAAACGATGCTTGCCACACTCAGTCTTCAGCCTTGACAGTTGGCTCTTTCTGGCAGACAGATCTCTGGCAAAGACTTTGGAGCCCTGGTTCCGCTCGATCGCTTCTTTAATACGAGAAGTATTGAAGTTGCGTAAGTCTCGCCGCATGCATTTGGAGATCTGTCTGTTCAGTTGCCTGTATGCTGTCAAATCTGTTGACGATTGCAGCCTCATCTCCTCATCAGCCTCACCTGGACCCCACGGACCGATAATCTCTATATCAAATGGCACAAATATGTAGTCCATAAATATGTATGTCTTATATACCAAGATAGTGTGAAAGTTTTCGACCTCAATATTAAGATGGCAGCACTAGTCAATAAAAGCTAGTAAATGTAGTTGTGCATCTTTTGAGAGTTACGCACCAAAATTTTTGCCATTTTTTAAGTTGTTATTTGACAGTCGTTTGAGTGAGTCGATGTGAGTGTTTTAGTGAAAATGGGGAAAATTGAATATTCATTATTTTTTCTGTTTTTTGAAAGGCAATAACACCTACGCAAATGCAAAGATGAGTTGGCTTCTCTGTATGGGGACTCTGCACCAGCATCTTCGGGACATCCATAAACTGCAACTACTGACTGTTCACCAAATGTTGCTATACGATCGCCGAAGTAATGTGAAAAAATATAGTAAATGCTATAAAAATGTCCACAGAACGTGTTCGTCACACATTAAATCAAGATTTAGTTATGAGAAAGCTGTCAGCGCGTTTAGTGCCGCGTTTGCTCATGTTAGACCAAAAACGTGTCCGAACGAACATTTTCAACGCTCTGTTGACGCAGTTTAGATACAATAAATCCGAGTCTCAGGCGCCTATTAATTATTGTGGATGATATTTTGGTACACAATTATACGCCTAAAATAAAAATACATTCAAAAATTGAACTACAAAAAGGAAATTGGTTCCAAAATAAGGAAATTTTACGTTTTCGTCTGGGAAAGTGATGGCGACTATTTTATGGTTAGTCATGGAGTTATTTTAATTGATTATCTTCAAAAAGGAAAAATCATCACAGAAACATACTACACATCATCATTAATTGACATACTGAAGACAGAAATTTCGAAAAAACGGCCACATTTGCAGAAAAATAATATCCTTTTTCATTATGACAACGTGCCGTGACACATTTGCTACTGCGAAAATCCACGAATTACGGTTTGAACTGCTTGACTATCCAACTTACTTACCAGATCTAGCCCCAAGCTACTTCTTTTTGTTCCCTCATTTAAAAATTGCGCACAGAATACAGAGATTTTTGTCAAATGATGAGGCAATCACCTTCATGAACAATTGTTTTGCAGAGAAAAACGACGAGTGCTACGTGGACGTTTTAGAGAGACGGAAGCATCGCTGGGAGAAGTGTGTAGAGTTACAAGGAGACTATTTAGAAAAATAAATTTTAAGATAAAATGTCTTATATCTTTGTTAGGTTGTAAGCTTTTCGGAACAACCACCTATGTTCTAAGGTTTAAACTATACTTTAAGAAGTTTTCTTCTTACTAAAGGAGTTCCTTGGTCGTGGCGCCACAATCTTCGTGAAATTTGACATTTACTGTACAAAATATTACACATCGAATTTTAGTTCGCATATTTCCGCGGGACTTCTTTAGCGAATACCATTTTAGTTTAAATCTGTAACTAATTATAAGCTGCTTATTGTAATAAGGTAGAAAAAGTTGGATGTAAAAAACTTAAGTAATGCGTACGTACAATCGACTTTTTACACAAAGAAATAGTAACACAAAGAACAAGTTTTGAATTATTTTATGAATCACAATTGTAGAACTAATTCTACAATAATGATTTTTAAAATAGTTTGACATTTTTAACATCGACTTTAAGACCCCATCGTGTGCGATTGATTGCTCGGCTATGTTTGCTCACTCAATTTAATAATTTCTTATATTTACGTGAACACTACCCATTGATTAAATCCACTTTTAGGGATTTTATCGCGTTTAATTTACTTGATTTTAACACCCGACGTTTCGGGCGCTTTCCTAACTGAAAACAAAGCAATTGCATTGAGAACAAAAGGGCACTACCAACTGCTTGGGATCCTCTAATTAATAAAATTAAAACTAGATCGGACTAAAAGTAATTATTGAAAAGCCTAAGGTACTTCGGGTTAACTCTGACATCGGGACGTCAATCACCTTAGCCCACGTGACCATGGGTGTTATAAAGAGCCCGAAACGTTGTTTATTATAATAAAGTAAATTAAACGCGATAAAATCTGTAAAAGTGGTTTTATTCACCCAACTTAATTATTAATTATAATTACCCGATCCAAAGATCAGTTGCACGTATATAAGGCATATATCGGGTTTTAATAAAGTCAATCAGTAAAAATATTCTTCAAAATGTCAAGCATTAATTTATTATACTTTTTAAATATTGTATGATACTAACACTATGTATAAACGTGACTTCTCGTATCATGGACACCGCTTCCCTTCGCGGGTCTGAGTATTTTATACAAGTTGATTATGATGAAATAACCAACACATATGAGATATTTTCTAAACATGTTACAATCGAGCAACATTCCACCTCAGGTAACTATTCCTGACCCATAGATATTACATACACTAGTATCTATCCTAATAAGAACAAATAGTCACAAAAATGGAATGCTATTTCCAGTAAAAATGAGTAGCACTAGTGCTTTACAAGTTGATTATGATGAAATAACCAACACATATGATATGCTTTTTTAAACATGGGTGACAAACGAGCACACATTCCACCTGTTGGTAAGTGTATTCCATGACCCATAGATATTACATACAGCGTAGTACATCTATCCTAGAGTAAGAACCAAGATGTGAGGTCACCTCAGTAAATAGATGGAATGCCTAGTTTCCAGTAAAAATGAGTAGCACTAGTGCTTTACAAGTTGATTATGATGAAATAACCAACACATATGATATGCTTTTTAAAATATAGGTGACAAACGAGCACACATTCCACCTGTTGGTAAGTGTATTCCATGACCCATAGATATTACATACAGCGTAGTACATCTATCCTAGATTAAGAACCAAGATGTGCTGCCACCTCAGGAATAAGATGGAATGCCTGGTTTCCAGTAAAAATGAGTCGCACTAGTGCTTCCCATTGAGTGTCGATAATCAGTGATGACAGTACATAGTTACTTATTAAAGATTAAAATGACTCAAAGTAACTTCATTTTATCACTTATTTTCAAATAAATTATGCATTAAAATAATTTGATTAAAAAATTAGCATCACTTAGTAGTATTAATGTTAATGTAGATAAAGTTCGTTTAGATACATTTTCTCTGTAATTTCTGTAACATCAAAATATCCAGTCGCAATCAATGTTAATACATAAACAACTATTGCTGTCACGATACCAATATCGTTAATAGTGGTTACTGATACTACAGCTTAGAAGTACAAGTGATAAACTGAAAACGTGTTAAGATAAAATATATCCTACCCTTTAAGAAAGCAATCGCTAACCCATCCACCGATCCATCACAGCCTATAAAGTTCTGAGCATAGGCCTCCCGCATAGATTGGCTCATAGAGGTATTTATAGAGTTGCCATTCTTCACGATCGGGCTCTTAAGCTTCAAAAGTGCTCAACCTATCAGATCCTAGAATAGTTATGAACCATCGCCTTGTTTTGTGATTATGATTGCAATCAGTCAAGTCGTACAGAAGTTACGCTATCCACTATAATGGATTCATATATTCTGCTTTTATGAATGTTAAAAAGGAAATAAAATTATAAAAAATCAATCGTATAATGTTTTAAAAAATTTAAAAAGATGTTAGAGTTGAAAAATGGCTATTTTATTTTAGTAGTAACAAGGATATAAAACAACGGGTGAAGAGATAATTTGTTTTAAACCTATTACACAAGTTATTTAAAATACTCTAAATGCTATGACTTAATACATCGATTTATCGCGATATCCAGAGACAATGGCGCCATTATTCGAAGCCGAGCTAGTTAACAATGAACCAAACGCTGATTAAGCAGTTCCCTGTGGATCGTAAATTATTATGTTTCTAAAGCAGCCTGCGGATACGGAATCTTAAGTGTACTATCAACAAAAGCTGGTGAAAATAAATAATTTATAGAAGTTAATTTTATACAACATGATGATGATGATGATGGCATCCTCTTAAGAAATGTAAACAACCAATCCGACCTAAAATCATAAGTTGTTAATATACTTCATATAAGTTAATTGATAGAATCGGGCGTTACTTTGCGGAAATCCATTATAATAAAAAATAAAAATTTCTTTACAACCTTCCGCTAAATAAATTTTTATAATTTTTATTTTAATAATTTATTTAGCGGAAGGTTGCAAAGAAATTTTTATTTTTTATTACTTCATATAAGTATCTAACCTCTTATATAATAAAACAGACAAAGCGGGGTTCAATGATCTATACCAATATAATAAAATGAATGTAAATGATTTTGCTCAACAAAGCGTCTCGTTTTGCATGTACGAAATATTTGGCTCAATATTTTCTTATGTATATTCTTTTATGACATTTTTAAGTAAAATATTTTATTACAATTAACAAACGTGTAAAAAATAGATAATTAATTATCACCATTATTACAGTTCATCACATATCTACGTCTGAATATAGCCAAGGAGCCTTAAAAAATCCGGTCCACCTGCACCACCTGAGCCACCCGCATTTTTTACCAGATCTAAACTCCATCTGATAGGAAGGCTGCCTTACACTTTACTTACCGGTACGAGACTGCCACTCGAGAACCTTTTTCACCATCGGTTGTCGATTCTTCGTGAAATATTGCCATATAATTTCCTATATAGATTAATGATCAAATGGAGTAATGTCTGTTACTCCGAATCTTCTGAAGTCTACAGAGTTTGCAATTTTGGTGAGTGTAGAGAACCGGAGACCTATTTACTGGATACGAGGCATTCCGTCTCAGTCCTCACGGATGACAACGCATCGTATTTAGTTTGTATTCAAAGATAGATGTAGATGTCTATCGGCCACAGTAACTACTAACCATCATTTAGACTGTGTGCTCGTTTGTCACCCTTATCCTATAATTAAAAAAAATCCTTACAATGACCTATATTATAGGTCCTCATTTATGAAATTTACTAATATTTAAATTACCATTCGAATTAAGTTGCTGTATAATATCCTGGTCAGACATTTATTCCGAATACCAATAAACTATACCTTAAACTGTGACATCTCAAAAGCAATTTATGGTCGTAACAGATGTAAGAATGGTTTCTACATGTCGGTGCGCAAGCAAAGGTCTGCATCTGAAACATGACCATACAGTGATTTATATTGGGGCCCCTAATATGCGTACACCCGTCCATAAATATAAGAATGTCATTCTTTTCAAGAGGAAATTATTAATGCAATAATCTTTTATATATCGATTTCTTTATGTATAAATGGTTTTCTTGATGCTTACGCCTATTTGTTTCTAATCCAATATATGTGCGCAAACACAGTTTTTTTTATATTACACCTACTGGCGCACATAGTTATTGGGACCTACTAAGCTCGAAGTTATTGACCCACTCAGGACATATTGTCGGACGAGGTATGTCCAGTTTGACTGTGAGGTAAATCGACGACTTCATCTCGGCTTGATAGCGTGCGGGAGAACACAACACGTCTTTACGTCACATTTACCTCAAAACATTAAAACGTGGATATAGTTCTTCGCTGCTGACTGAATGACGAATCTCAAAATAGCTCTGCGAGCTATGTAAAGGGCTATATTCGTAGTTTCTTCGTTGAGAGGCTTCGTAATAAGAATATTCAGAGTAAAACCAGAGTCACCGACCACAATGAATCATTAAGCTGAAGTGGCAATGACTCGAAGAACCCGCAGCTGATAGGGCAGAAAGGTTCGCGAGTGGCAACCATATACTAGCAAACAAAGTGAAGTGTGGCCTCCCTTTAGTCAATGAGTATGGGTGGCTGAAAACCGTGATTTAGGCCTATATTCAGCAAAGGACTTGTGATGGGCTGTAATCATGATGATGATGATAATGATAAAGACCCGATTATTGAACTAACTGTGTGGTGTGATGTCACATTTTTACCAACCCACCCACTGTTTTTGGGATGAGTGTAGGAAATTTTTTGAGTAATTTACGCCAACTGACACGCCTACTTTCTATCTGTACTATGATCAAAAATTCCCAGTCTAAATCTGTATATGGGGTATTTAAAAAAATAGTTTTGTTATTATATTACTTATTTATCCACATAGTAGCCAAAACAATATTATTTATTTTTTGTCAAACTGTGGATGAAGTTATTTACGAATTTTTTTTCGATAAAATTTATAAAGAAGTAAAATATAATTTGCTTAGAAAAGGCAAGGTTCATTTAATTGAATCCGCCTGGAGCTTTGGCGTGCCTAAATATAAAATGCAAAGAAGGAGAAGAAAACACGATACCGGGCAGCGGGCAGGCGTATGAGAAGTAGGGTAGATGTTAAATAGTTTTCTTAAACTTTACTTAAAGTCAGGCCGTTGCCTGACTTAAAGTGATATCATTGCAGCAGGATGTAATATCCTGCTGGAGATCCTAATGGAGTAATGGAGTTTGTAGGGGGGAATGTATATGAATGTGTTATGAATGTGTTGTTTTCCGCTTTAAGCGTGTATGTCATCTACTTTGCAATGAAAATTAATAAAGTACAGTGACAGACGCTGCTCGCACCGCGGGCGTGAATCTTACTACTAGGTTAGCTACTTAAGCTCCTTGTATGGTTAATTACTATAAAGTGAGTTAGCGTCGCTGCCAATGTTTTTGTATAGACACACTCCAGGCAACTTCACGGACAGTATTTTTTATAGAGAAACTTTTTAATGCGACTGAAAAAAATGTGTGAAATAAAGTGATATTATATTATACAGGTTTATTTTTCAAAGAGTCGCCAAATTTTAAACTTAAGCTCAAATATATACATATACAGTTATTACATTTTTTGTCATTACGAACACATAAAGTACAAAGTAAACTACTAAAAGTACAGTGAAGGTTCAGAATAAGCAATATAGGCAAATGGTGAAGAAAAATTAATTAAAGAAATCGCAAACTTTTTATCCTTTTTATCTTTAAAATTCAAAATCCGTGATAATGCATTATTTTATCAGATTTTACTGCGCAAACATATTTCATTCATCACATTCGTAAGGGTCGGGAGGATCGGTAGGCAAAAACGTCGTTGCTCATAAATCCCATTGAATGTGATTTATATAAATCTGGGATAATTTCAAATAAAAGTAAAAGCCTTATTCTAGAATGCAAAAGAAGCGGAGATCCTAATCTCCACTTCTATTACATTCTCCAGTTAAAACAACTTCAATATAATGGATTTCCGCAAAGTAACGCCTGATTCTATTAATTATATTATATAGATAATTATTTTAGATTATCGATTATGGAATTTCTATTCCAAATAAAAAATAGTCATAGCGACCATGTCAGTTAATAGAACACGAACACGAACGAATAGAACAAGAACACTCATCTGGGAAACTATGTACTCCGCCCAGAAGAAGTGAAATTGCTCACGGCTAAGCAACTCCTTCTATTCATTGAAGACATAGGGTTTAGCCGTGAATTATAGCCATAGCAGCGATCACAATAGATCTTCTAGGTCGCAGTGATACTGGTCTCTTTCCCTAGACCTGCAGAGCCGCTCGCACTTAATAAAAAAATGTCAGTTAATATTCTTCTACTTCATGCATCGATCATGGTATTAGAAACTAATCTCAAAATTATTTCAAATAAAATAAAATTACTCGATGGTAAACTTCCTTGCTGTTAGGATTATGCCGAAGGTTAATTGTTAAAAATAATAAAAGTGTGAGAACGGATGTTCAACTTGCTCCCTTTTTTATGCAATTAATCATTTTCAAGAGTAAAACAACGTACTGCACTATACAAACACTATAGAGCAAATACAGTTCAATCAACCGTAATATTTTCCCCTCCCAATCACACACTGCTGTAACGTGAAGGGCATAATTATGATGATGCATAATTTGATGATAACACCAAATTATGATAACAGTAACACTATCTCAATGTAACACAAAGCAGCCTATCAGCAACACGATCTTCCTTGCCTACACTAGTAGAATACTCCAACGGGCAATTTAATAACAGTGAGCCCGTAGAATTACCGATGTTGTAGATTCTGCGCTTGAGCTTTGTAGACTCCGGATGTGTCTATCGAGTTCACTTCCGTCACTCCACTCTCTTTGCTCATCTGCACAATTTATATACTATATATTATATCTCGCTTGGTGCGAGGTGATTTAAGTTTAGGGACTATATTGGTGCTCACATTGTTGTGCGCAAAGCACGCTGTCCCGGGTGAAAGCAGTCTCACAATGAATTTTAGCGGACACTTGTTGTGGTGCAAAGAGTATCTTGTGTGTAACTCTTCTTCCAGTAAAATAATTTTTAATTACTTATGTATTGGTTGCAACGAATTGCAATTTGTTTATGTTATACAACTTAGGCAGACAGGTTGGCTCATTTTAAGGGCAACCAATAAAAAGAAATACTAGTTTAAAGAATTATATGATTAATAGCTTTGAAAGTCGGTCATACCGCGTTCACCATAGTAAATTTTGAGGATAAAAGGTAGCCTAGCCTTTTTAATATTTTCAACTCACTGAATCCACATATCCACATATCGTCAAATTCGGTTGAGTGCTCTGGCATTCCCTTTCATAGCTTTTTTTAATAGCGATCAAATTTGTAAAGCCTACTTAGCTGTTATAGTTTACATTTTTAACTTAAGCAGATATCAAATTATCTCAATTTTTTCAAAATCAGTTAAGCAGCTGAGTCATGAAAGTTGGACAGATTTTCACATTAAAATAGAAAAGTACGGGTTTTTTTTTCTGCAATACATTTTGGCAGTGGATTATGTTTTTGTCTAATGTTTTATAAATTAAAATTTAAAATTGACAATGTAAAACAATAGATAACAACATGTTTATGTGCAATTTTGAACCTAATTCTGAATTTTTAATCAAATAAAATTTACAAAGAATCGTGTATTTGGAGCGTGCAAAATATTATATGTATTTGGAGCATAATTTTTTTTCAATACATTAAAATGATTTCTTTTTTAATAATGATTGTAAGCATCGATCGAAAATCTAAAATGTGAAAATTCGTTCATTCTGTCAACACAATCATTCCTTCTCTTTCTTTTCAGAAAGGGACGGGTTATAAAGATTCGTTGTGAATCCGTTGTTATTGCCTTGGAATAGCAATGTAAGTAATATTATAATGCATATGTAACATATATTTATTAAAATTTGTATGACTAATGAGAGAATTGGGTTTCTAGTAGTGATAATACGACATGCGTTCCCGGCAACAACAGTTCTGGTACAAAATGAGGTTGACAACTGTTCTATTATGTATTATAGTATTCTATGCCTACGCGGAAGTAAAAGCAATATGCTAACAACGTTTTACCACAATCTGATGAACAGTATGGCAACGCATAAAATACCAACAAACAAATATTTATTTTTATATATTAAGATATTAAACTTGCGATGGCTATGTGGTGCTGTTTTTTTTTTTTTTTTGAAGATAGTGACAAACAATAATTCAGTTCACCTAATATTAGGTGATAACTGCCATCCATGAGCAAATGCAACATCAGGGCAATTACAAGTGCACTGCCAGATTTTCAAAAAGGAAAGATTTTCTAAGTCGTATCGGTCTATCAAAATCTCTGAAAGTAGCCGATTAAACAAAGAAGTTGTGCAGGGAAGAAAACATATGGTGCGTAATACAATGATGGGCCGTGGATGGTATCGTAAATTCTGTCACGATGTGCGGTGATGGAATGCGGTGGGTCGAGTTAATTCAAACAATTCCTCTTAGCACTGCACATGGTAAATGCGATAGAAAATGCTATGGGATGCAAATCTCTTCGCAACGTCAGTGAAAGGTGATCAGAAAGTTCTCGGTCGTCGACGATTCGGGCTGCTCTAAGCTCAGCTGGCACTGGTGCGCCACGGCCCATAAATATAAACAGTATTCCATGTGAAGTCTAACCGTTGCCTTGTAAAGTTGCAAACAGTGCGCCGTCATAAAATACTGGCCTGGAAATTAAAATAATATGTACCCAATTAGTTTTATTGATAGATCAATTTCATAATATGTAGGCTTCTAATCCGTTCACCTGTTACACACTATTTTTTCCAGACAGTAAAAAAATTATCCAGTATGATTAGCCAATATGTTTCTTATTTGACAAAATGATCTTTTAATTAAGGTAATTAGTAGAAAAGTAGATTAGATTTGTACACTCCTGACTTGTATAAAATTTATGATAATTTAATTAAAGATAAGATAAATGTATTTAATACGAACTTGCGTTCTACGTACGTTGCGTACTAGCTCGTAAAATAACCTTTACCTTAAATCGATTGGTAGTATCGCATAATGAAATTAAAAATAATCCTTTGTGTTTTATTTTCTTCGTTCGTTATTTGTATAGCCAAAGTAACTTTTGAAGGGCACAAAGTATTTAAAGTTGTCCCAAATACAGAAAATAATGTGAAAATTGTGATGGACCTGCAAAAACAACGTATTGGAGAATTTTGGTCGGACCAGTTTGATGTTCATAATGCTGCCAAAATAACGGTAGCACCAGAAAATATAAATAAATTTGTCGATGTTATGAATAGACATGGTATTGAATTTGAAGAGATAATTGCAGACTTACAAAAGTAAGTATTTTTTTTCATCTGTGTTTTTCTTCTCATTATAAAATTCACGATAGTCATTTTATATGATATTTAAGGAATTAAATAAGGAAAAAAGGTTTTATATGCAGCAGTAACCTGTTTTAGCACTAGAAATAAATTGAGATGTAGACCCTTGGTCAACACAACAACACAACACATTGTTTTTAGAGCAGCACGGTTTACCTCAATACACGTGTGGCGGCGGCGTTATCCAACATTCCATTTTGCCTAAATATGGGAATGGTTAGAAAATCTTATTGCCTCATATGTATATGGCGGTTTAGTAACGCCTGTAATCCAGGTGTTAAATACCTATCTAGACAGGGAGCAACATAAAAGGCGTGAAATTCCACACGTCTATCTGCCTTCCGAGCGTGACGTGGCGAGCGATACATTTTTTTAAAATTTTGATATTGTTATTTAAAAAAATGTAATGTTTATAGGGTCATTGACAGTCAGCTGAAACCAGTAATCACCGTTGAGAGAAGTACAGATTTTCTTTCATTTAGTTGGAACCGGTACCATACACTAGAAGAAATTAACAATTGGCTTGATGAACTTCAAAATAATTACCCTGATATAGTAACCACTGTCGTTATGGGGAGGTCTGTTGAAAATAGAGATATTAAGGGCGTTATAATAAATTACCACCAAGAGAGAAATAATACCCTGATAGGTATGATCGAAGGCACGATTCACGCAAGGGAGTGGATAGTACCTGCGACCACAACTTGGATAATCAAGGAATTTTTGACGAGTACTGATCCCGAAGTTCGCGCTTTAGCAGAGAATATTGAATGGCATATATTTCCAGTAGTTAATCCAGATGGATATGTCTACACATTTACAACTGTAAGACTGACAATTTCTTGATCCTCAATTTTAGCCTTTATTATTTTTAACGTGTAAAATGTAGAAAAGATTATTTAATAATTATGCTTTAATGTAAATTCCCAAAATAGAATAAACTATAGGATCCCCCATATACTTTTTTTACAATCTTTTAGCATGTTTATTATTTCTATTTTAAAACACATAATAATTACCACATGTTATAAACAACAACATAATTAAGTTATTTTTTGTTGGGTAAATAAAAATATAGTTAAATAAAGCATGCCGACATCATAATACATTGAAACTTGAGCAGATTTAACCAAACTTTATTTAAATAAAAACTATTTTAGCATCGAATGTGGAGAAAAAATCGAAGCACGAGAAACTTTACATCTTGCTCGGCTACAGGTGTGGACGACGACATGAGTAATGGAGTTGATCTTAACAGAAACTTCGATTTTGCGTGGATGTGTAAGTTTAAATTGATGTGCTTAATAATATAACATTGGTCATTATAGATTCAAATTTTTAAAGCCATACTGTATCCATTTTAAAGTTGTATCAAGAATGGGTCTTCTCGACCGAGAAAGAACCCCTCTTTTACAAAATACCAACGTAAAATCACAACTTAATGCTGCTGTGTTTTGTATGGTGAGTGTAAAGAACCAAGGACTCTTTTTTAATGGAAATAAGGCTTTCTATCTTAGTCCTAAGGGGTGGAGACGTATTTTGATTCTTAGTCGGGGATATATGTATATGTGAATGAGCCACAGCATTCACTTACGTTTAGGTGGCTGTGTGCTCGTTTGCCACCATAATTCTATATAAAAAGATGTTGTTTACGTGCCATGTAATAGTAACGTAAAAGTGTCCGTTAGCTTATTTCATTCCGTAGGCATCTTAAGGGACGCCAAAACATCGTATGGTTTCCGATAGATAGCAGTAGCGGTACTCCACCTGTCAATGCAAATCGGGCAGTCCCAAATCAAACAGTAGACTTTTACATGTTGATGGAAGAATATCCATAAATGTTATAATTAATATATATAAAATATAATAGAAAATATTGTTATTACAATGTGACGTATATACTCGTAAGCTGAAACTTATAGTCATAATATATAGGCATTTATTTTTGTTAGAAACATTAGCTGAAAACCCAAATTCTGCATTAGACTTTAATTTAATAAATGATATATTAAATAAGGATTTAAATTTAAATTGTGAATTTAAAAATAATTAATAAAAAACTCAAATTATATTAGCAACTGTAATTTTATCCTTACAGCAATCGGCGCAACAGATAATCCCTGCAGCAATACCTTTGCTGGCCCCTCAGCATTTTCTGAACCAGAATCTAAGGCTGTGGCTGATTATGCATCAAAACTGAAGAATCAAGGAACTTTCGTATATTATTTTGCTCTTCATTCGTACTCTCAACTAATTATTGTACCGTATAGCCATTTAACTGCTGCCGAATCTGCGAGTATAACGAACTATGCTGATATGGTAAGTATATATATATATATATATATATATATATATATATATATATATGACATAAATGTACAACTAACTGCTAACCAAATATTCTTATATTTTAAAGTTTTTTTTTTGGTTATAATAGCAAAAATTTAAATATTATTCACTTAAAATATGAAAACTTACTCAATATTGCATACTTCTTTACTTATAAGCCACTTATGTTGACCAAACACTTAAATGGTCCCATTGGTGATCCTAAATAAATTAATAAGTATTTCACATTCACATTGCGATAGATAGTAAATCCTAAATTAAGTCAACATTTGTACAAAATCCCTAATAGTGGCAGAGAAACAGAATCCAGATAACACAAATCACGCGTGAAATGAAACAGAGTATGTATAGCAGCATCCGCCTTGCTGTGCCTGATAACAACCGAAAATAGTAAAAGCGGCGCCTACCAACTGCGGTCGAGGGGAAATATAATCTCAAATGGCTTAGCAAGATCCTTAGTTATGCCGAAAATATTGCAGCATTAATTTTGAAATAAATATATGGTAAAGATGAGGATTAATGTTAAGGATTATTTTAGACGAAAACACGATTTCGTAAAATTTTCTCGATAGAAAAAAAAATCCAAAGATACCTCCAAAATAAACAATAAACCGCTTTTATTCATAAAATATTTTAAATAAGATCATGAAACTTTGCATACTAACTGAACTAACTATAAAGTAGTGCTTATGCTATTTACTTTTTTTTAAATACCATGATTTTCACTGTAAAAAGAAATTACCTAAACTATCGGCCTCTTGAAGCGTGGTTCCTGCCGCCCGGTCACTTCGCTTCGGCCTTTGAAGGGGAGGTTGTGTCGCTTACGATCAGAATATAGACACAGCCGTAATAAAAATAAAAAGCAACTGGCTTGGCGTAAAGAAACAGGCATAAATATGATAAACCTAATGAAATAAGTGTCTAACGACCTTTCTACTTACAGTATTAGTGATTACAAACGTGTCGGTACATAGCATACGACGCGCGGGCAATTAGGGACGAAATTAGAATTTGAGCTGACTTACTATATCCCCTTAACCCGCTGGCCTATTGTGGCAACTGTGGCGAATATTCCCCCTATGAGCTCATAGATTAGTTAATCTATGAAGGAAGTCTATATCTAGGTTCTGCATAAGCTTTTGATAGGCTGCCACAAGTGAATGAATGAATGTGCAAACTTATTAGAATCTAATATGGATGCTTTGTTAAAATAAGACCACTGTAGTATATTCTTCAGCGTTACACGTGAGCCGCTTACGTTACACTTGAGATTAAAAAGAGGGTTTAATTTTTCGCACTATTTTAGCTGAAATAAATTACCAAAATCTTCTCCTGATATTACTCTGTAAATAATTAATTGGATTCGGAAAAGTAAGGGCAATACTCTTATATCTGATATGCGTGCGATTTTGTAACTGTGGTGGAAATCGATGATGGTTTTGTTTCGTAGTCTCGTTGCCATAAATAAATTTATTAGTATCATTGATTGAAACTACTTTTACGGATTTTATCGCGTTTAATTTTAATTATTTTACTATTGCATAGACGGACAAAAAAAAAGAAAACGGATCTTAAAAAATCAATGTGTAGTGTTCGCGTAAATATTAGAAATCATTATGTATTAGTAATTTTATATGATATTATTAACAATTAATTATTACACAAAATAATATCGTAAAATAAAATTTGGTCGCGAAAGGATTTTTACCAGCACACGATATCCACCAGAGTAACACAATCGCGCTGCTGATGATAGTGCACCTTATAAAGCCGTGTCGATAGGAAACCACTGTAATTTTATTTCATGAGCCTTATGCTATAGTAATTTAGTATTAAGTAATTTTTTGATATTTTCATATCTAATTTGACTAATTTCCAGTACGACATTGCACGAGGAGGTGCTGATAAACTAGAGGAACGATTTGGAACCGTATACAGGACTGGTGTTTCTGCTGATATATTGTGTGAGTAGTAAAGTTTGTTTTTATTACATTTCTTGTATTTTCTGAAACTTTTTTAGACCCGGAAAACTGCTAAACTTCAAAAACGCGAAAAAGTTTTCTTATTTTGAAGTATTGATTATTCACATGCAAAAAAAAACATTTTTAAGGATGTCTGAGAAAATAAAAGAATATTTTACCAGTCAGTTTCTATTAATTTCCACCTAGGATTTGCCTTAAACATTTTAAAAAAATTATATCTATTTTAATTTTTTATTTACAGGAAGATAAAAACCTTGAAAATTTTCGAAAAAATTTAAGAGAAATATTTTTAATTTTAGATCCCATGAGTGGTACAAGTTTTGACTGGGTGAAGAATGAAACAGATGTCTCAGTATCGTTCTTAATAGAGTTGAGAGACCTCGGCGAATACGGTTTCCTTCTGCCACCAGAGCAGATTATTCCTAATAACTTGGAGATCATGGACGCCTTACTAGAGATGGATAGGACGACAAGACTTTTGGGTTATTATTCTAGTTCAACAAATATAGCTTATTCGATATCACTTTTTATATTTTTAATTTTATTTGAAATATTCATGCACTAATACTTATATTTATGCTATCATATTCTATTTGATGTACTGTAATTAATTTTTTATTTTTTCTACATTATCTGTAATAGTTTCACGCAAAGAAGATATAATAAAAGCATCTCAAAAAAGTGTCTTTTGATAAAAAATAACCTTCATAGACTCAAAATATTATTCCAAGTGATGGCAGTAAATCCTTTAAAATTACCAAAAAATCTCATGAAGATGGTGATATGGAGTAGCCTTAAGAGTGTAGCGGTATCAGTTCATAAGCCTGTGAGCAATATCATCGCCCTCAGTTTAATGTTGGAACTAATAATAATTTTGTGGAGTCCAAACTGATGAATTCGCAGACATTATCGCAAAAAAGATATCCCTAATCTGCAAAACACGAGACAGTCGTAACACAGTCAAAAGACAAAGGTAGTCAGATATATATAGCCGTTATGGAAGCGACTCACTCACTCCTTTATTTGAATGAGATTCATTCAACACAAAACTGGCGGCTCATTTTTTGGTAGATGTATTTATGACAATAATGATTTCTTATATTTACGCAAATACTACACATTGGTTAATACTACTTTTACGGATTTTGTCGCGTTTAATTTATATGATTTTTTCCCGGTGTTTCGGGTGCTTTCCAACATCCATGATCACCCATGGTCCCCAGTGACCATGTGTGATCATGGATGTTGCTGGAAAGCATCCAAAACGTCGGTAATTAAAAATCAAACAAATTAAACGCGACTAACTTTGCATACATTCAAAGCGCATTTGAAAAGCATTCATATGAAAAGGGACATTATAAATTAGATGAGCATTGAAGATAAGATATAAGTATGCATGGACGTAATGAGCTTCCTCAGATTTTATTCACTTATTTACATATTTTATATGATAACTTTGGGAGATAAATATTTTATATAGGAGTTTTTTGCCGAAAAAGTAGCAAGAAAGCTTCGAAAATGGCTAAAACTCGGGACTTGTTGAAACGATGGCTTAGCATTTTATTTTCGAAAAGTGATTTGTAAAAGCCAATTTCAAATATAAATATTTCACTCTGACTTTTACTTGATTATTAGTTTTTCTTCTCCAACTTGTTTTATTAGCGGCTGTCTAAAATTGACAATTTTATTTATTCATTTAAATTTAACCAAAAATATATTTTGGGTGCTAGAATATATTATTACGATAGATATTGATACTGTATCTGATCGAAATCGATGGAAAGCGAAGATGAGTGAACTAGTTCAAGTCATAGTGAGAATGCGCTTGATCGACATTATTAAGTATACAATGTAACATTGTTAACTTTTAAAATGTTTAATCATTTTCACATACTACTACATTGTGTGACCATCATGTATTTAAGTATCTTTATATAAATATCTTGGAATTTTGTGGTTAAAATCTTACACACTTCCAGACCTCTAAATAACCTAAAAATTTGCCGACGTATTATGAACCGATGGCAATAGAATAATTTTATGACTTTTACCTAGTATTCTCTCTAGAGATTCTAGAATCATCACAGTTCGTGATCAATGTGTGTTGTTTGAGTTTTTCATTATCTCAAATACAATTATTTATTTAAAAAACTTACTTTTATTGAAAAAAAATTCCGTACTTAGTAACGTTAGTAACGTGACTGGCGAATATTACAATGAATATTATCAAACAAAAACAATAAAAATTAACATATTCCAGACAAGTCACCATTTCATATCAGAAATTATGACGACAGTTATAACATTCAATAAATACTTAACTGATAATAGTAATCTATAATATTGGAGATAAAGATAAATAAAAAACATTAACTGCTTATTACTGAACCCACATTTTGATACTGTTCACGTTTGATACGTGCCATAATGGTACTTAAATATTTATTATTATTTAGTAGCGTGGCGCTAATAGTTAATGCCTACAAAAGCTATGAAAACTACAAAGTGTATGACGTAATTCCAAAAACAGATGTTCAAGTACAGATTTTATATGATTTAAGAAAACAAGATTATTATTATTGGACTGATGTCTTTACGGTTAATAGTAATGTTAGGATTATGGTATCGCCGTTGAAGGATGAAGAATTCGTCCAATACTGCAGAAATTTTGGACTAAATCCGGTCATCAGTATAAATAATGTGCAAAAGTAAGTCACTTTATAATTTACACATTAGTAACGCTATAAAAATGAGTAAGTGACTAATCAATCTTCGTTTGTTTTAATAATACTTATTGATTCCTAAAAATAATTTTATTTAAGAACATTTCGTCTCACTTTCTGATGACCTCAAAGACTTATTATTTATTATGTCTCATTCAAAGTTGTTGGTGTACTGTGTAAACAAAAACTATTTGATAAGTTGTATCACCATACATCTAAAGGTACAATCTTTTAGATGATCCTACATAATTTTCAATATAATTCCATTTGCTGGTCGTCATGCTAATTACATATGTTAGATGGTAATGCCCGTTTTCTTGCGTTACAATATTATTTTACTAATTTCATAAATTCATTGCTTATAGATTAATCGACGATCAGTTAAGACCTTCTCTTATGAATGCAGAACGTAGCACTACTCTCGGGTCATTTAGTTGGACTAGATACCATTCCCTATCAGAAATTCACACTTGGCTTGATGAACTAGCAGAAATGTATCCTAATATTGTAACAACAGTCAATATTGGAGAATCAAATGAAGGACGTCTTATTAAAGGAGTTGTAATAGACTTTAAAGCAGGAGACAGAGGTGACTCACCACTTGTTGCAATGATAGAAGGCGGTATACATTCTCGAGAGTGGATTTCTCCCGCAACAGTTTCTTGGATTATAAAAGAATTCTTGACTAGTGACAACAATGAAGTACAAAATTTGGCAAGAGCTTTTGTTTGGCATATATTTCCCGTTGTAAATCCTGACGGTTACAACTACACTTTTACAAATGTAAGTAATCTTAAGTGAAAATAGTAACTTCCCACATACAAGATATCAACCAGTTTTTAAGTTGCTATTAAAGCAAAATCCAGTGATATCAACGGATAATTAACCAATGCCTTTAATACTAATACACAGAACTAGTTATAACTATTATGCAAGACGTAAAAGCAATTATTTAGGTATACGAAAGGATATACCTCTGTTAGGAACTTTACTTCTTAAGCAGTTCGGGTAGTGATTTTTCAGTCTTAAATTTGGTAATAATGTATTCTATTCTACAAATGTATGCTACGTTTGATAATGATAAACAGTAATAGATCAAAATATTCACCATTGACTATTTCATAAAGAGAAGACAAATAAAATTCATCTGTTATTTACAGTATACTCGTATTCAAGTAGTTATTATAATGAATCAATACAACAATTAATTTGAGTTGATTATTTTATGCAAAATTAGTTGCTGGTTATGTTTTTAGATTACAACTATTTTATACTTTCAGGATCGAATGTGGAGGAAAAACCGAAATGTAGCTAATTTTGTGAACTGTTCATCCACTTCAGATGACTTAAGCAACGGCATTGATTTAAACCGAAATTTTGATTTCCTTTGGATGAGTTAGTATTTTGTTAGTTTATAATACAATATTCATTAATTTAAATATAATAATTAAAAGCAAAATATGCGGGATTCTAAATTCAACTCATTCACCATAACTTATACACGAGACCGTAACATGGACATTTATATCTCATACCAATGTTTCGGGTGTTTCTATTGACTGACTCTTACAATAGTGAATGAACGAGTTACATAATCTTGCATTATTTTCAGACAGAATTTTAGTAGTAGTATTTTATAGCTTCTGTGGTTCTTGATTTAGTGTCTAAATCCCATACAACTTTTTTTCAAATATTATCGCAAAAGTGACACTGAGGTTAGAACAGGCGTAAATAAAAAAACCCAAATTTTCAAACTTAAGACTATGTCTTAAGTTTGAAAATGTGGGTTTTTTTATTGTATTTAAAATGTGACTTTTGCTATAGCAAAAGTCACATTTTAAAACCCAACATCCTGATTTCGATCTCAAACATAGATTAGAATGCAGAACCTTGATCAGTAGTTGCAACTACGATCACTAGACTAACGAGAAGATGAATTATTGTATACTTTCATAATAGAGAGTATGTTCGAAGTTTCTCTCCCTGACGTACATGGGAATGAGGATAACGGGTCAGTAAGCTGTGTAAGTGACGAACTGGTAAGTGACGCTGGCAGTCGATTGATGCAAGTGACTCAGGATGCTGCTTTTTGACACTTCTTGATGAGGCATATGTTTAGCAGTTGACTTGTAAGCTGTAATGATAATAATGATGACTCAGCTCAGCCACTTCTGTGACCGCCCCGTTCTAATCGAGATACCCCTAAGAACAGAGGCCGACAAAGTTAATACGTCGTGTGCGTATTAGATTCTCACACTAGGGCTTTTAATTACGTATTCTTTTTATACTCGTCCTTGTACGAATACACTTGTAACAAACACAAAGTAGGCCTAGGTGCAAAATTTCAACTTTATCGGTGATACTAAAATGTTGAGTTTTACTTTTATTGGGGGATAGTTCTTGCTGACTTGCAACACAGGTTTTAAATCTGACTATGGGCACCAGTTCCACATTTATAAATAATTTTATTAATTATGTTCATTTATTATTTAAAATTGTAATTCAGAAAAGGAACATGATTGCATACTTACTTCGAACCAACATTCGTATCCAGAAACTAAGAATAATAAACTAGAACTTATTATTGAAGTCGTTATTTTTATTGGATAGGGTGACAAACGAGCACACAGTCCACCTGATGGTAAGGGGTTGCTGTGGCCCATATACATCTACTTCTAACTTCGATTACGAATCAAAATGCAGATGCGTTGTCACCCATGAGGACTAAGATGGAATGCCTCGCCTCCAGCAAAAAGGGTCTCCGGTTTTCTACACGCAGCATACAAAACACAGCAGCACTACTATTTTACGTTGGTATTTTGTGAGAGCGTGGTCCTTCCCCCGATCGAGTCGATTCGTTCGTGCCTATACTGCTAATAATTCTGTAAATTAATATTGTGGTGAGAAAATAAATCATTTATTATATATATATATATATATATATATATATATATATAAATATAAATTATAGTGAAATCCTATAATTTCGGTCACCGACTTCAAATATTAATGGAAATAAATTTGTTTCAGCGGTTGGTGCCTCCTCAGATCCATGTACGCAAACATATGCTGGACCGACCCCAGCATCAGAACCTGAAACACAGGCAATTGCAAACTATGTGTTAAATCTTAAACAGACAGGCAATTTGCTTTACTATTTTGCGTTCCATTCCTATTCTCAGATGATTCTTATTCCATACAGTCATTTGTCTGGGTCCGATGTGATTCAATTGGAAAACTACGCAGATTTGGTAAGACTATAAATATCACTGTAAATCGTTAATCGATAACACTATGAAATGCAGGATTAGTTAAAAGTTACTTCAATGAGTTTTAAACTAAAATTTGTTTTCTTTGTTTTTTTATACAGTATGAGATTGCAATCCGCGGCGCCGATAAATTGACGCAAAGACACGGAACATCCTACCGCGTAGGAACTTCAGCGGACATTTTGTGTAAGACTGTAAATTTTTCTAACGTTATATTTTCAGAACGACCAAAAAATAAAGACCGAACACTACGTACATTTCAAGTGACGCCGGAATAAAACAAATATAACGATTAGCTTATAAAAATACACACTCACGCACAAATATATTCAAGAGCATAAAAATCCCATGAAGTCGCATGTGCCCGGCAAATCCCGAGCGGTCGCATCCGACCGCACCCACCCACAGTACTTAAAACCATAAAAACTTATATTTAGAGAGTACTTTTCTACGAAGAAATTTAGCATTATAAAATCTAAACAAAATTCTCTATCCTGTGGTCTAAACAAAAGTCAGGTTTACTTCATTACAAAAAGATTTTATTATATATTGATAACAAAAAAACATACCAAGCGAATGTCGGCAGCGTGAAAATCAAAATTATTTCAATATATATTACTCGAAATTATTTACGTTAAAAGATAAATTACATTCACACAAAAACTTTCATTACTATTTTATAATAAAACACTAGAAAAATACAAAAATCAACACAATAACATTCACGCGAAAATGGCGTACGAAACGAACGTAGATTATAAATAAATATTCATAGGATAACAGTTTTCTTAATGCATTTAAGGATAGAGTATTTTATATTGATTATATAATGCCAAACTTCATTTTTTTCGTAGAAAAGTAGTCTTTATATATAATTTTTTATGGGTTAAAGTGCCATGGGTGGGTGCGACTTCATGAGACCGCTAGGGATTAAATGGAATATGGTCGCGGTCTCATGAGACCGTTAGGGGGTTGAGCGGTTAAACAGTGGTATGTGTGCGTTCAGCAGTGTCTGATAAAAAAAATACTGTCAGCCGTAGAACTGCACGTCAGAAGTGAAATTTTATTAACTTAATAAAGTTGTCATTATTTTTGTATACATATATGTATGTATCTGAGCGGGACGGTCACTCAAGTTCAGTGCTTTTTCCCCACCTTAAAGTGTGTATATAGAGTGGAAGCTCAGGGGCTAAGTGCTTGCTGAAAATTTTATAGTACGCGATCAACCCGGGTTTGATCGTCGCGGGCACCAATGAAATTATTAATTGCAATTTTAAGTGCTGATTTACCACGTGCTTGGCGATGAAGGAAAACATCGTAAGGAAACTGTCATGTGAGAGAAATATTAAAAAGACATGACAAGTTCCCCAACACGGGGGACATTTCCTGCTCAAAACCCACTCAGAAATGTGAGGTGTCCCGTGCCCAGGAGTGGGACATATATAGGCTGTAACTTTACATTTTCACTATGTGTATATATGTAAGTCACGCGACTTCAGTGCTTTTCCCAATCCCAAAAGTGCCCAACGTGCCTAAAGGAGTTTTCACTTTAAAATATGTGGGAATCCCCCGTGGGTAACGTAAGAGGTTCAGAGAGAAACACACCAGGTGATAGCTAGAAGCATCATCCTGATATAAAAATAAAATAGTGTGAATGCCAACCCACCTGCCAAGCGTGTCAACTAAAAACTATAGCAATATCCCCATATTATGCAATATATGGGAGAAGCCTGTGTTCAGTAGTAAGCGTTGTGACGGACGGTGTGCATTTCAAGAAGTTGAGCATATTTTTGGTTTTACTTTCAATGTAACCAGTGATCCGTACTTCGTTTTTTTTTAAACCTGAGTTTAAACATCTTTATTGTTGTTGTTGAATTAGCATAATATTAACTTTTATTGCTTTAGACTTCTCCTAAGATAGAATTTTCTGTTGTAGGATTCCTTTTCCTCCTCGGACCCTCTTACCTATTTCAGCCATCAAGCAGCAGTTCCTGTACTGCTGTGTTTCAGTCTGTAGGATATAGAGGGCTCTTATTGAATTAGCATAATATCAACTTTATATATACTAATAAATTATATATTAAAATAAGAAATAAGGTGATGGATTGTTTCATAGAAATATTAAACACTGTGTAATCCCGTTTCTTTTTTTTAATTTGATTTCACTCGAGATGTTATGAAAATTATAAACTTAAATATCTTTTTTTTGTAATGTAAGTTATAAGTGGCAAAGTTAAAATTATATTTTTACAGACGAAGTAAGTGGCTCAAGTTTTGATTGGGTCAAAGGTGTTGCAAATGTACCCGTAGTCTATTTGTTTGAACTTCGCGATGTTGGTGAATACGGATTTCTTCTACCTACTGAACAAATCATCCCTAACAATGAGGAAATTATGGACTGCTTACTAGAAATGGATAGGACGACGAGGCAACTGGGGTATTATTCCGGGGCAGTTTCTATTACCGTTTCTTTAACATGTTTATTAATCAGCTTAGCATTTATTTTTATGAAATAAAATATTACATTCATTATCTGTATAAATGAAATATAACGAAATATTAATTATATATGTTTTAAAAACGGCTTTTATTTAAAATGTTACTTCGAGCTTTTCCTAAGTAGCTCTTTTTATAGTGGTAGAACCACGCGGCAGTTATTGCTGATAAACGTATGGGCCGGCTCAAGCCCGGGTGGTACTACGGACTCACAGAGTACCGGCGTAAAGTGGAAGCTCTGCCTCCGCGTTTCGTCTGATTAGTGTAGGTGGCTGGAGGACCAATGCCCCCTCCCCCATCAACATGGTGGCGGAATTAAATGTTAGACTACACCAGGAGGGTACTAGCACCCCTGGAGAATCCCTCGCTGAGCATCCACGACCCGGCTACCCCACTCCTAAGCGTGGATGCTCAGGCTGCCCAGCGTGATCTAGGAAGGGGGGAGGGACGAAATTCTGGTCAACACAATAACTCCTCGGGGTAAGCTGAGCAACAAAACCAAGACGACGCCTGCTAAGCTATCCGTGAATTTCTGCATTATCAGTGGACTTCACTCGAACCTAAACGCCGTCCACTACCATATCGTAATGGTGACACCGGCTCTAGTCTTTCGGACCAAGATGAAGGTGTCCTCTCCGGCTGATATTTCGTATCTCTTCTACCCGGGGTACAAATTGTAACACTCTTTTGTGCCTCGGGCTGGAGTTTGCGTATACGTCAGACAGGACATATTTTCTCGACGCTTTGGCAGTCTTGAAGTTTCGGACCTGTCCAGCCTTTGGCTACGCGATTTTTGCGGACCGATACGACCTAGGGACCTTCAAGAAAAGAGCTTACTCCTTCCTTAAAGGCCGACAACGCACCTGCGAAATCCCTGGTGATGCAGTTGTTCATGGGCGACGGTAGTCACTTAACATCGGGTGAACCGTATACTCATTTGCCCCCTCTGCTATAAAAGTTGGTATGGTTTAGTTAAATTGCGCTAATAATTAAGTTTTCTTTTCTTATAAATCACTCTAATTTAATAAACTATGAAATAATACAAGAAGGGAAATCTTTGTACTCCTTTTTAAGTACATTGCGTGCAGTGACAAGTGTGAGATTTTGACTTTGTTAAAATTTATATGGGGAAGGAGTGCAGTAATATAAAATGAATTTAAAATAAGTGTAACAAATACATTAAACTAAATGAAATATAGTAGTAGTGTAGGGCGACCCCCCACTAGATGGAGTGACGACCTGGTAAGACATGCAGGAAGTCGATGGATGCAGGTGGCTCAGGACCGTGCTTTGTGGCATTGCTTGGGGGAGGCCTATGTTCAGCAGTGGACTTGTGAAGGGCTGTAATGATGATGATGATGATGATGAAATGAAAGAAAAATAACATAAGTAGGTATTGTTTAAGTTCATAATGTCAATGTCAAAGAATTAGATATGTGTGTTTTATATTTCAATGCGCAGTTAAAAGTAAAATACAGGTATGCATGCTTCATGTATAAACCTAAAAATTTTTTTGAATTACGGTCGAATTTCGACCACTAGGTGACCGCTAGTAATCCCTATAACGTCAAGTCAACTTAGATTTTTATGACAGATAACATCAAATTTGGAATAGTACATTTTTGATCCAAATTTACTTCACAAAAATCTTAGATATTTCCCGCTTATTTCTTCCGCGGTAGCGTCGTGCCAGTTACCAGTGTTTCATAAAAATTAACATATTAGCACTTTACCTATGAAATTGCCGTTTATTATGAAATAAATTAACGTATTTTTTTTTCTATATTATTATTAATGTTAATCAAAGTAATCACTCATGCAATCAATGCATCTTTGCCAACGCAGTAGCACTGTAGAAGCAAGGTCTTGTAAGTACGTCGGATAACGGAGAGCTTTCTAAACCCAGCTCTTTTAACTTGGAGACCGTCCGTTGTGCAGTATGAGGTCGCACGTAGTCGTGCAGGAGCAGCGGGCACTAGCGATTGACCAAAGCTGGTTGTAGAAATGCGTGAGCTTCTCCATCATTGTGTTCAGTTCTTTATATAATCCAAAAAGCAATAATATAATATTTTCGTGAAGTGAAATTCAAATACATAATATAAATTTGTTAATATTTTAATTACTTTTATATTAACACCTTTTTAAAGTATAACATTACATTTTGACCGTAAAATATAAATTTTCTCTTTGAAATAATTATAGTTTTACAAAAAAGAAGTGACAACATTAGTTATCTTAGTAAATCCGAAACAAATGCCTCTAAATCAGACATCAACCGACATTTCTCACGACAGAATGTTTCAGTAATTAACGGAGGTGATTTAGCAATGTTGAACACGCTTAGAGCTCTCGTGGGATTTGGAACGAATAAGGAATAATTTATTTTTACGGACTACAAGATCATGCAAGTTTCCATTTAAGTTTTAGTTGCACCATTTTGTTCCTCTTCTTTTTAAATAGTAATTTTCATCGACAACGGTCACTGACGAATGTTTCTTTTTTTAATTTTTGAGTTTAAAACTTTTACGCTCTAAACCTAATAGTTAAAATTTTGAGTAAAATTCATTTGTCTATTCATTCACTCCTATTAAAATCCATTTCTGAACATAACATTCTCATAGTACATTGCTTCATAAGGGAAATATGATGAGTATGACGTATACTGCCTTTTTTGCGTGGTAGAGCCATGCTGTAGCTTTACAGCAGCGGAAGCAATGGATCAATTCAACCGGTAAAGGACTAAGATCGTATAGAATACTAGCGTTAAAAAGCAGCATTATAATGCTATTTAATATGCTGAGTGACAAGAACGAAAACCTTTTTATCGGTAACGGTCAAAAGGAGTAACAACCCATTTGCATTTTGATTCCTAATTGAGAAAAAAGTAATCTGTGTGCTCGATTATCACCCATATTTCTACAAACTAAAATATTGCGCAAGCATATTTCATGTACCCATCCCTCTCTTTAATCACACCCTTACAGTTCACTCCTGTATAAAATTATTTCTAACTGTAGAGTGAAATTCCCGTTATCGTCATTCGTAACATGCGGATTGACAGTTGTTTTACCGGAAGTACCGACCATTTATCCTTGCTGCCGCAATCAATCTGGTAATTTACACCCGGCATTTTCAAAATGGTTACATTATAATAATACCCTCCGGGCCTAATTTGAGTCATGACGGCGAGTCTCGACGTAGACTAGCCATCAGCGAAGGACAGGATTAAAGTGCAGTAGAACAAAGTAAGAAAGTAGAGCAAGTGACAATTCAATATGAGTGGAGAGGGATCAGACGCAGGACTAACGGCTTGCTACTGAGAAATCCCAATATCTCATTTTGGTGCGGCCTGCGCTTTGAACTTCCATACGGTCCATATGATCATCAGGCATGCTTAAAACCACTAGACTAACAAATCAGTTATGCTATAATCGACCGGAGGCTATGCGATATTTCTGATATTTATTTTAGTCGCATCTTACGAAGCCCACCTATCACAATGGGGACTAACCTGGACGATGTAGTTTCTTATACTGCTCTTATATGATATAATCGTATTAGAATATAACAAAACATTCAATCGCTTACAGGCCCCTTTTAGAAGGATGTATCAATGGAGACCTTGCCGGTAACGATAGGGCGTAGCTTCCGATTGAATTTAAGGAATTCCGCAATTACGTCGCGATACGAACCAAAAATTCACATTAAGCTTGAACGAAATCTACCAAAAATAACTGCGCCGTAATAGGGCACCGGATGATGTGAGTACGGTTGACAGTAAATGGTAAATAATAATAAATTACGCCACCCCTGACAACGTGACGCGTGACTGAAATCAGACGTCACGGAGCGGCCACAAATCATAACGCACACCTATTTGGCCCACTTCGAACAGGAAGTGGAATAGAGTACTCTTCATTTATTTTAATTATTACAAATATATGATATAACACAAAAATAAAACGATGACTTGAAATATTTTTTGTATTAATTGTATAATGTTCGATTTTAAATCGAACTAGATTGAAACATAGTTTTTGTATCTGTTTATTAGCTACCTTAAGAGTTTCAAAGATTACACGATTGAATCAGGTTAAATATATTAATAGAGCACTATAATAAACGCATTACGCAAACGTGAATCCATTTAAATCCCATAAGGTACTAGGACAACACTCAACCACAACATTATCAATAATTATATAATACACAATTTGTATGAAAAAGAAATTAAAAGGCAAGTTAAAAATCAACTGTTTACGAAATATTGGACCGATATTTTAATTAATATATTATTATAGTGAGTGTTTTCGGAAACTCAGGAACATCTGCAATCAATCTCACACTAAATTAAATTTTCTTATAAAAAATTCCTAAGCCAGAACACAGCAGTGTTTGTACAGCTGCTTAATAGCAGAGACAGGTAAAACAGTGCGCATAGTAGTATAATGACCATACAAAATATAAAACAAAAAATTTAAAAAAAAATTACGACTAAACAGATAAAAAAGGTGGCAAATGTACGATCTTACTGTATAGTATGTATAAAGGTGATTCAACAAATATTTACCATCATTTATGGTTTGAAATATTATTTAGAATATATAGCGTTTCTATCCATATCATTACTACAGGAGTGTTTTCAATTTATATGGTAATGGTTCATAATGATTCTTTTTACTGCTTCTATTTAAGGTTACTTATAATCACAATATGAAAAGAGTTAAAAACACGTACAAAAGTGGTTGGTTCTTGAGCAGTACAATTGCTGCGTCCAACACATAACAAATACTTAACATGACACATGGTTTTGACGCGATGTGGGCTACATGTAATCCGCAACGTAACCAACTCAGCTTTGTATTCAGTGTTATGTGGTCTTTAGCATGTTTATCTTTTAGTGTTAATGATTTCTTAAATTTACGCGAACACTACACATTGAATAAAACTATTATTTACGGATTTTATCGCGTTTAATTACTTTAATTTATTTTTATTATTATCCCGACATTTCGGGTGC